CTACTTACCACTGGCTATCGTGCAGGTCACGGGTTCAACTCCAGGGAACTGTGCAGATACTGTACACAGGTAAGCTGAGGTCAAGGGATCGACCCCTGGGATCTGCATCGGCTACTGCCAAAGGTGAAAACTGTTTCATACATACTGATTTGAAGTGATTTCTAGATATTTATTCATTGTCCCATTTTTGTAATTGTATTTATTACTGCTCCTTTCGGGGACCTGCCCTTTCCATTGGGTGCACATGCGTCCTCAACTCCATTACGTTGGTTCAATTTCGGAGATCATTCAATCGAGGCCTTCCTCCTTTGTGCTCCCACGAAGATCATAGTACCATCATCCCAATCTTCGTCGAACAATGGTCAACAATCGAAGAGTGGCAGATGTGGCAGTTCTCCCAGGCACAAGGTCAAAACCTTTTGGTCACGTCTTTCACTGGGGTGTGATTGTGTCATTGTACACCGATAAATGTATCTCTCCCCCCAAAGGCGATAACACTTATTGCTTTTTCATCCAATACGATCTGAATCCATGGAGCTGTGGATAGCATTCGGGATGACATGATATTGTTGACTTACTTGCTTGTCCCATTCGCTTCGATGCTTTTGGTCATTCCTTGCTTCTTCCTCTGCTACTTTCTCAAGCTGCAACTCAGGCGGCAATGCCCGATTCTTCCATAGCACATGGATGATCCTGCAATAGATTAAGAACAGGGCTTAGCCCAGGATTTCAGGGGAAGGAAAAGAACCACAGGGAACTGACTATGGGTGCAATTGAGGGACTGGAATGGGCAGCAGTGGAAGTGAAAGCCAGCTTGTATGACACTTGACCGCCAGGATGCTGCGACAAGACTTCAGGTTTGATCTACCAGACCAACAAAAGTTGGCAGCTCCCAGTAGACCTGCAGAACGGTTCAGTAGTCGAGTGTGGGAAAAACATGCTCAGGTCTATTGGTGGTTAAAGAGATTGTTACCAGCTCACTGCTGGTGGTTAAAGAGATCATTACCAGATTGCTATCGATGGTTAAAGACATTCTACCAGACCGCTTACAAGGACATACATCATTCCCAGTTGCTTAGTCATTGTGCTTTCTTTCACCAACCATGGACATCCTCAAAGAAGAGCATGTTCCGTACAAATATCGACATGATTATGATCGGATACATCCTGGAAAGTCAAAGTCCGAATATCCATTCCCTTAGCAATAGAAATATTTATTGATTCTTTGGATTTCTCTTTTCCTTGTCATTTTATCGATTCCGTGTCAGAGTCGTCATGGGTTCGTCCATGATAATTTCTCAAGGCAAAACAACGAGGTCTCAGTTTCTTTCAGAACTGAAGGATGGCAAAGTAAAAGGTTGTGCCGCTCCTTACCTGAATGCAGACCAAGGTTTTACAAAGGATTGGAATCTGATCTTCAGTCGGCCAGAAGCATCTACTCCATATGACCCTGCTTTTGCATCCAATCCTCGGCCATGGCGGATGTACATTGTGATCGATGGATTGAGCAAGCGATTGATACTGTTAATGCTTGGTGCATTCTCCTTGACCTCCTCTATGTCTTCCCACAAGATCAAGAACTTTGTTTTGTGTCCAAAAATATTGGAGTAGAATCCTAGAGCCCTTACAGAAAGAAAGAGCCGGCCCTGCAAAGTTCCCGCACGTTTGGAGCACACAAGGAGACGAGTGAGCAGCTACAACGTCAGTCTGCTCTGCAAGCAAAACAATCCTCTCCGTTCATTGGTAGAAGGCCGCACACAACTTAGATCACCAACCTCTCCTGGATGTGCCCTCAACACTAACCAAACCAGGGGTTGAAAATAATGAAAAAAGAAAGGGAAGTAAAAAGAACACAATCCCAAAACAAAAAGACCATCCACAAAACCACAGAGCAAAGTGCCAGCACAAGGAAGAAGAAAGTGCACAATCAGAACTGGTCCCACTATCACAGATTTCTCAGACATTGAGGGTGCTGAACGATTAACACAGTTATTTTCTGTGAAAGTGTGTATTAATAATGAATTCAGAACACGCCTACTTGACTGACAACTGTATGCACATTACAGTGCTTGAGACAAGAACCAAGCAGGTGCTCCATATATCACAGAACTGTTTCATAAACTCGATGAGCTGCACTGGGCTGCTAAGAATCAGCTTGCTGCTCAAGACCACAAATAACTCACCCAAACACCCGATTCGGCTCAATATTACTAAAAATGTTGTCAAAGCCATTCATATGTTACATTTGATTAGACGTTCAATGCTCATAAAAAAACTCGAGTTGGCTTCAGAAAGATCCAGTCAATATAGCATATCAGTGCATATGTATTACTGCATATCATAGTCGCGACGCACCTTGGTGCACGGATTTGCGCACGAATTGCGCACCGCACAGCGCACCGAAGCCCAGCGCACTGGAAACATTAGGTCCAAAAAAAAAAAGAAAAAAAGTAGGGGTTTGGTAATTTTTCAGGGGCCCCAACTCGGCAAAAATGTTAAAGTCACTCGCGAGCTCGGAAACCGGCCGCGCCCCTGGCCCGAACTTTTCTTTTGGGTAAGGGATGCCGAATTCCGATTTCCGCAGGCCCTTCCCCCAAAAGTTTCAGAATGGCGAAGCATTAAATAAGGCTCATTCCAAGTTTTTTTTTAGGTGGGGTATGGGAGCTGTCGATGGGCCTTCAGGTCTGCACGTCGGCAGTTATGGGGGTGTATGGTTGGCCTTCAGGTCTGCATTACGAATACGTCCAGTGGGGCCTGCTCCACTAGTCACCAAACGCACAAAAGACATAGCATATGGGGGTGTATGGTTCCATGTTTTAGCAGAAGATTCATTCTACTAATATTATAATAATATACCTTTGGTGAGTTGTGGAGGGAGGCCCTGAGAATCACGTGGAGACGTGAACAGGGTCTAGCTGAATTGGTGACCCGTAACTGCCGAGCTACAGCCCTGAACTCGAATCCACAGCATATATTGGTGGTCTGCCCCCATCTCTTCCACACACGGGGAGGCCATCCTTCTCATTGAAGCAGTGGTCGTCAATGGCTCCGCATATATTGTAGGACTCAGTAGGAGCCATTCGAGGCACCTGCAGGGGCCTTCGAATTGACATGAAGGGGACCCTTTGTTGTCTCTCTCTCTCTCTCTCTCTCTCTCTCTCTCTTAGGGCCTGTCTTTTTTTATTTTTTTACTTTTTTATAATTATAGCGCACAGGGTGCACCTCCCTCAGCGCGCGCACCGCGCACAGCGGACCGCACTGCGCAATGAGCGCAGTGCGCGCGCTGTCATTCCAGCGCACAGAGCAGTGCGCCCCGCCCCGCCCCGCCCCCCCCAATGGTGCGCCGCAACTATGCTGCATACTAATTTTACGAGGTGCTCAAGTGCATGCTATATATGGAGTTAGGATGGGACTCTTGTCCATAGATGCCAACCGGAGACAGACGGACCAATGCTTCCCATATGGAGACCTAATTACAATCGATAAGTTCAGATTGTTTGGAACCTCCTGGCTGCCATTGAGGCATAGTTCTTCTCATATTTATTGGTGCTAAAATGATAAGACGTCCTAACTGCTGTGGTGTGACCAATGCAGTGTGTGCTCCATTCGTTGTTGCCACAGCTCCCTTATGCAATCCTGGTGGTTTTCGAGAGTGATCAACATGCAGCTGGGTCCATTTGTATTGCCCTGATGGATGAGTGGGATTGTGTTTTGTTCAGATCCAAAAGCCATCCACAAACTATCTCCTCGGTAGGGTCATGAAGATCTACCATCCCGAAATTCTTTCGGACATTCGGACTTCAGGATGTGCTTTTACCCAGCCTTTTTCTTGAAATACAACAATGTGCACTGCATGCATCAGTCTCTTTCCGGGGGAAAATGGTCCGCGTAAACACACTGCTTGATTTTTATTTTTCTGGGTGGCTTCTGCTGAGCGCCTGCTTTCAATGGGGAGGGTCAGTAGGCCCCCTTGCACATCCCTTCACCATTGCTACAACACACACACACACACACACACACACACACACACACACACACACACACACACACACACACGCACGCACACACACACACAGAGAGAGAGAGAGAGAGAGAGAGAGAGAGAGAGAGAGAGAGAGAGAGAGAGAGAGAGAGAGAGAGAGAGAGAGCCCGTTCATCATCCACCCACTGAAATCATATGTCAGTCTCTTCCAGTGTCTGCTTGTCCAGGACGTTCCATGGTGAAGATTCCTGCTAGTCTTCAAGTACTTGTGCAAGATCCTCTGTTGGTTGTCTGATTGGGCTCTCCTACCCAAGAGAAATTAAACCAGAAACTAGGCTACCAGAGTGGCCCGGGTCCACTTGCCTGGCCGGGCCAAAAAGAAAAAAATATAAATATAAATTATTTTGAGATTTAAAATTTTTATTTTAAATTTGGTAAAGAATTTCGATGTGACGCTGAAGCAAAAGTTGTTCAGTTTAGTTTTCTGCATAACATAGTTTTTTTTCAGATTTTTTGGATTTTGTTTTTCTTCATTTTTGGCTGGGACCTTCCCTAGTCCTTGCACGGCCGGGCCGCCCGGGAAAATAGGGTGACCCGGGCGGCCCGGCTGGTAGCCTAGACCAGAAAACAAAAAGGCAGTCATAACCACTGGTAGGGTCTCAGGCCACCCTCCAAAACACTTGGACGCATGAGCAACAGTTCCCCATGTACATGTAAAACCGAGGATCCGCAATGTGATAAAAAGGACTGAATGGACAATGCAGTGCAAGTAGAATCTCAACAAGCAATGTGCATTCCGATACATACAAAATGGTGCTTGATAGCGCAGGGAAGACTTTGATACAAATCCTGACCTGACCGGGACTGACCTCTATCACGTAGTGCAAGATAGCGCAGCAGAATACTAGAATACTAATGACTAGTCCAATCAATGTTGCAAAGCAGACCAAACATACATCATTCTCACCACACGGTGTGAAGGGGACCTGGCGCTATACACAGGAAGAGGGCGCCAGGTCCAGACATGCATAGACGAAGAGGAGGGGGGTGATGGGAAAGTCGTCAACACCAAGTCTCGTTACGAGTCCCAAATAATCCCTCATCAAAATGTCTGAAGTCCACTGTCGAGTCTGGATCCAAAATGTCCCCAAGCTCTCGCTCTCTCTCTCTCATGGCCTGCTGATGCAGTGAAGTCAGATAACGAGAGGGTGAGAAGGAGATGGTGGAATGAGAAGAGGAAGAAGAAGAACTCTCTCTCTCTCTTGTATGCCAGGTACTAACCTGTGAAGATGGCGCTGTGCTGCAGGTACCTCGAAGACGAAGCTGGAGCAACAGCGCTGCAGGTAAGTATCCCTGGCCTCCGCTCAATCTCTCTCTCTCTAGTGCTACTCTAGCTATGGCGCCCAGCGCTGAAGACTACAGCTAACGCTACTAGCGCCCAGCGCTGAAGACTACTGCTAACGCTACAACTACTCCTGCAGCGCCCCTCCAGAGTGCTGCTGCCGAATCCTGAAGACTACCTCCTGCCTCCTGAACTGCACGTGAAGTGCCTGGGAAGTCCCTATGAACTACCTACCTGCCTGCAGGGCGGGCCAGTCCTATATAGTGCTGGCCCGTCCAGGAGGCTGCTCTTGCCAATGCCTCAACGTGCCAGACCCTGGGGTTGAAGCTCAAATAAAGGTTGTCTTGAAAATAGGCCAGAAATGGCCTGAGCTAAAACCCTGCTCTGCTGCCTGAGTTTCGGGGCAGGCTGAACTCATGAGGGCCCGGAAATGGCCCTCAGTTTCAGGCTGAAAACACTCAGGGCCGGAAAGGCTCTGATTTGTTTTCAGGCTTTCAGGCTGAAACGACACAGGGCCTGTAGGCCCTTGTTTTCAGGCTTTTGGCCTGAAACCGTCACGGGCCTGGAAATGGCCCGTGCAGCCTGTTGCAGGCACAGCATGTAACACGTTCGGTGACCATATTCCCACTTGCTCTGCTGGACTTTCTCTCGTTGTTAGCTAAAGCATCAGACTCCTGCTGGGATAGGTTCCGCTGTTCTCCTCTTGTTTACGAGTCACTTCCAAGCTCTCAGGCCCAGCGATCACAGAGGGTCTAGTCCTTGCCCTCTACAACACATGGGCCTTAAATAATAATAATAATAATAATAATAATAATAATAGTAATAATAATAATAATAACAATGCGCTATGGCCAACCAGAGGGGAACCGGCCCGGTCGACCAGCCAGTCCTACCGATCCGGTTCCGGTTGGGGGAAGGCCCCCCGGTCCTACCGGGTTTACAGCACTCAATTTTACTCTTCAAAAAAAAAAATCTATTTTTTTTAAAATTATGCGCTAGGACTGCCCGGGACCCTGCCTGGACCCTGCCTGCCCCAGGCTGCCCGGGAGGGTACCCGGGCGACGTTCCCCATCCATGCCGCCCAGGGACCAGCACCGGTCCAGTGTCTCTGAGATCAAACAACTACTCAACACTTCCCTTCGTTATGGTCAAGGGACCCTAAGAGGGCAGCACTGATCACTTTCTTTTACAGACGGATATGCTACCACTACACCCCTGTAACATTTTAGTTTTTCAAGCCCAAAATTATATCCTGAATATCCCTCTTTCGCTGAAAAGCCTGCCCTGGGGAGTAGTATCTATCCATGTTCTAACCCAAGATA